GACACCTCCCTGTCCGCTAGAACACCTCCACTTTGCCCATGCCTGTCAAAATTGGACCTTCACTTTTGGTACCCTTACGCCCGGGTATCCCACCTATGCTTTCAATATATTCGCATATGACGGAGAATCGTCTACTGTGGGATTCCGGACATGGAGAAAATCATGCACTATTGCCTGCTTCATAACAATGTCCAAGCCTATTATTATAAGCAAACAGTTTGTTGCAGTTGCAGCGAGTGGACGGATGAAGCAGCTCTCTGTACATCTCCACAGCTCATTGATGATGCGCTCGTCACTAAGAGTAAATATCAAGCCAGTATATTCTGCTTATAAAATGTGTACTACATGCTAAAAGGCTCCACAAATTAAGAAGCTGTTCTAAAGCAAACTCTCGCGAAAAAACTGGCTGCCTCGCTACGTCAAATCCAACATCTGCACGTAAAATAAAAAGCAAAATAACCTTTTAACATCGTCTTTATAAAGAAACAGACTTTTAATAGCCCGAAAACGCTCGTTTTCATTTCGAGAAACAGAACATTGGAGTGAGAGCAGGACCATATCGAAAGGGAGTAGATTATCCTCGAAATCTGTTACTACAATACGTATGCTATAATACAGCATAACATTCGAGCTAACGCCGGACCTCACACTTTTTAAGGTGCTCGATTCGGTCGCACTTTTGTTATCAAGTTGTGGTCTTCATGAAAGAAGCACGAATCATTTTCAAATAATTATATCTGATAATCTGAAAAAAAACGCAAGCTTCTCTTACAAAGGTAAGGGGTAGGGGAAAAGATGCTATCCCAAGTGCGGGTTTTAAAGCATAAATGTAAAAGAGCCGACGTTTTAATGATTTTTTTAGAAATTACACAGCTATTTCCTCTCATTTGGCTGAAAATGACCCATCAATTTTAAACAGGTCAACTTAGTGCTTAATACATATCGGTAAACGTAAATGCAAAGAATGCTCTATTTTTCGAAAAAAAAGAAAATCGCAGACTAGCAAAATGGATATACACATGGATGAGGAATTTTATGCATTTCAACCTACAAAATATTCTCTACGATCTCCTTAAAATACATAGCTGAGGCGATTAAGCAGATACTGAGAAATCTCGTTACCAATACCTTGAGCCAATTACTATAATAGATAGATATAATTATATAAAAGTAGTAGCCGTGAAACCAGTGAGTCAAATTTGTTTTGCATTCCTGCAGCGCAAGAGTTTTGCTTTCCGCACGTTTGTGCTCG